TCCCTGACATTCTGTGATTCTGTGAACTGGATACAGATTCCTTAGTACCTAAGCAGCATTATATACTTGGGAAATTTCCTTGCATGTCAGCATGATCAAAGCAGCTGAAGAATACCTAGCAGATTTTTTAGATTATTTGTTCAAACGATTTTTTTTTCTGTTGTCTCCCTTATCCAACCATGACACAACTTCCTAAAGACTGTAAAGGGGAAAGGAAAAAGTTAATTGTCTCTCGAATGTTTAAAGGGGACATTAAAATAGCTGTTTCAGATATCTAGGTGAGGAAGAGTTATAGACATAACTCTTATGTCTACACTCTAATAAAAGGTAGGTTTTCTACTGAAGAATCAGCAAAAGACTCATTTGAAGGATTTGGGTTGCACCTCCACAAACCTGACCTGCTGAAGTATGCTTAGAAGTGTGTGGGGTGAATTTTGCTTAATATGTCTTTTCTTGGAAACAAAACTAAAAATTTGATCCAAATCAGAAGACACTGAAGAATTTTACAGCACATACACTTCCGTGGATATCTGAATTTTATGGACACACTTTCAGGTATATGAAGATATGATTTGTATCTGTGTTCATCTTTCTTACCTATTCAATTTTCAGTCAACACAGTGATTCTCAGAAAAGAGAAAGAAAGAAACTAATAGAGCAGTTATCAGAGACTGGACTCTCAAAAGTTTCCCTCAGCAGGCTTCCTCCTTTTCAGACAGCTGCTGCTTCCACTAACAGAAATCCTTGTGGCCCACTGCTGTCTGCTCTGTGTCTTTCAAATTCCAATTCTCTTTTCCTGTCTCCCACACCATCTCACTTTAATCCTCAGTTGCTCTCACACTTCATGTTCTTGTACTCTCGGAAGTGGCTGCTTGTCACAAAAAGTGTGTTGAGAAGTTGTATAGGCATTCAAACTATTTTAACATTGTTCTTTACCTCTATGCTGTAGCAAGAAACAAATCCCAAGCATACCTGTCTAAGCATACTCTTGTCTAAGAAAAATTCTGCCTAAAAATTCCCTCAAAAATATCCAATATATTTTGAAGTGTTTTTCCTTTCTTTCCTCCCCACCCCCAAGCACTGTGGATCTGAAACCTGTGGGAGAACACAGTTCTAATAATTTCAAACTGGTTATTACCCATATCTTGTAGCAGACTCCTCTCCTTCTAGATATTAAAGAGCATAATGTTTTTGGTTTGGTTCAAGTCTTCTCCATTTGGCTCTCCATTCTTCCAAGATCTAAGCAAAAGCTGAGTAGAGGCACAGGTTTTTAATTTGGATACTCACAGGAAGGATAACACTCCATCAACCATATAAAGATGTCCTGATTTTTTTTTACCTTTTGTAACACTTCTGTAAAACTGAAACTATGTCTTTGCAATAAAGCTTGTGAGAGTCTTAATGAATTTGTTTGCTCATCTCAAATGGTTTTGGTTTGTTGAAGTATCTACTCTAGGAAGTTATAATTTAAGCAGAAACATCTTGGAACATACATGTATATTATATGTATATACGCATACACTGTCCCCTGTACTCACCAGCGACATGTGTGTACTTACTTTCAGGGTGTGCAGAGTGTCGGTCCATTCCATGGAACCTATCTGAGGTATAGCAGTAAGGAGTATGCTAGTAGCCTTATTTGCATTCCCTTTCAGCGTCTTTAAAACTTTATCCACTGAAACCTAGAAATACAATAAAACTGAGTGGTATCTCTCAATTTTGATGGCACACATTTTAAACATTCAAATGAACTAATTTAACTTGTACATCTCTAAGTGAAAATCTTGGTGAATGGAGTTAAATCCAGTTGGTTGCCAGCCACGAGTGGTCCCCAGGGCTCAGTATTGGGGCCACTCCTGTTTAACATCTTTATCAATGATCTGGATGAGGGGGCTGAGTCCACCCCTCAGTAAGACGACATCAAGCTGGGTGGAAATGTTGATCTGCTTGAGGGTAGGGAGGCTCTGCAGAGGGATCTGGACAGGCTGGATGAGTTTCAATAAGGCCAAATGCCAGGTTCTGCACTTTGGCCACAATAACCCCTGGCAGTGCTACAGGTCTGGGGAGGAATGGCTGGAGAGCTGTTCAGCAGAGAGGGACCTGGGGGTGTTGATAGGCAGCTGAACATGAGCCAGAAGTGTAACCAGGTGGCCAAGAGGCCAATGGCATCCTGGCCTGGATCAGGAATAGTGTGGCCAGCAGGAACAGGGAAGTCATTGTGCCCCTGTACTCGGCACTAGTGAGGCCGCACCGCGAGTCCTGTGTTCAGTTTTGGGCCCCTCACTACAGGAAGGACATTGAGGTGCTAGAGTGTGTCCAGAGAAGGGCAACGAAGCTGGTGAAGGGTCTGGAGCACATGTCTTATGAGGAGTGGCTGAGAGAACTGGGATTGTTCAGCCTGGAGAAAAGGAGGCTGAGTGGAGACCTTATTGCTCTCTACAACCTAAAAGGAGGGTGTAGAGAGGTGGGGGTCGGTCTCTTCTCCCAAATAACAAGTGACAGGACGAGAGGAAACGGCCTCAAGTTGTGCCAGGGGAAGTTTAGATTGGACATCAGGAAAAATTTCTTTACTGAAAGGGTTATCAGGTATTGGAACAGTTTGCCCAAGGCAGTGGAGTCCCCATCCCTCACAGTATTTAAGAGTCACCTAGACATAGTGCTTAGGGATACAGTTTAGTCATGGTTTAGGGGACTTGTCAGTGTTAGATAAATGATTGGACTTGATGACCTTATAAGTCTTTTCCAAATGAGGTGATTCTGAGATTCTGTGAAAGGGTGAAGCCTTAAAATGCCACAATTGTTTTAGCAAGTAAAAAACTCTTTCCTCTGTGGGTATGTCTGATTGTTTTTACACAAGTGGGAGAACTAAAGCAGACACATAATTTTGCACAAAGCTGCAAAACAAAAAACACCACACCAATTACAGGAAGACAAGCTCATACACAGAGTTCACAAGCTTGACACACACAGACTCCCTGATTCAAACCAGAGGAGACAAAAGGTTTACTAGCAGTGAGGCAAGTTTATGAAAATGAATGAGGTAGCAATAATTGATTCTGTTCTTACTTTTAAAATTGTTCATCTGGAATAATGCAGTGATACTGATGTAAGAACAGATTTAGTTCAGTATGTGATCTCTTATACAAACCTACAGGTTTTCATCCAGACCCCTGAGGACAAGACCCAGAGGAAAAAAGCTTAACTCACTGCTTCTTCATGTTCCTTCCAGCAGTCGTAATCTGTTGCCATGGCAATACTTGCATAACTCATTCCAGCTTCTCTTGCAAGAATCACTTCAGGCACTGTGGTCATGTTGATAACATCAGCTCCCCAGCTGCGAAACATCAAGCTTTCTGCTCGAGAACTGAAACGTGGGCCTTCGATTGTGATCATTGTCCCTTTGGAATGACACTGGAGCCCAAGCTTCTTGGCAGTCTCAATAAGAACCTGCAAAATATGCCAATATTAGGACTGCTTTTGCATCCCATCAAAAAAGTTACATACCAGAGAAATTAGCTTTATACAAAGCAGTCAAGCTTCACATGGCTACAGCTGTCCAAAACCACGGATCAGTTACAGTTTCCTAATCCAGCAAGTGAAACTAATACTCCTACTAACAGGAATGATCTTGAAATAATCTGGTTTTGTTAGCATCAATTGGATTACTGTTTTCAATGCAGACCAAGAAGATTGAAAAACAGAAAAGTTTTGCATGATATTTAAACTGTGCTTACACTGAGAACAGAATGGTGAAAACACTCCACTGAGCACTACACTACCACATGGGTGGAGTTGAGCTGGTGAGACCAGTAATAGGAAATTTCCTTTTTGAAAGTAAAACTTTACAAGCTTATACTTCAGAGTACCCTGGGAATCTGCAGAGAAATTATTACCACATTTTCCCATGCCAGTGACAGCTGTACACTTTACATATACCATGTACTTCGCGTTAGTCTTTACAGTTCCAACAAGAACCTTGTATATGGCAGAATCATCATGACTTTCTCTCTTGGTACATGGCCTGGCTAACACTAGTTTATACAGTAGGAATAAGAGTGTACCAGCATGCATAAATGAGACTAGGACACCTGTAACTGTCCGGAGTAGGAAGGGGAAGAAAGTAACTAGGATGACATCTGTTTAAAATGACCATCAACAGAAAACAAAAGCTTGAAAACAAGTATAAAAGCAGCTGAAAAATTGTGACAGGACAGATCTTCATAACACAGCAGCAGTGAAAACCTAGACTGAAACACTAGAAGCTGCCTTCTCAGCATCATGACCTTCACACAGGCGAGGTGGACCAGCCTCCCTGCAAAATGCTGTGAGAAGCCTGCACTCCAGCTGGCTGGTTGACCCACCACACATGGGTGCAACAAGCAGCGATAGCTCCAGTCTGCTATGCAACCTTGCAGGGTGCTTCCTCGTTGGCGTGCGGATCAGTGGATTGTGTGGAGCAGCACAAGTACACATAAAGCTGGAATAACCGCATCTCTCACTGCAGATGGGTATAAGCAGGTAAACCTGCAGTCCCAAAACAGGGTGGGTGTGCATGTAACCCACATGTGCTGGGGAAGGGTACTTGTGCATGCATGTGTGAATGTGCATGTAAGCGTAAAGCAGAGTTTCCAGGCATTAGCCACATAAGGACACTAGAAATTTGTAAGTGTTTATTAACATGCTGTAAGTTAATCTAATATTAATCACAACTAATACTGTGTTTTATTGCTGATATTCATTCTCAATGTATGATTCACTGATTGCCAGTTACTTACACACTGTCAATAAATCAACAGACAACTCCAACTGTGATTTCATTTAAGTTGAGTAGAATTTCCCCAAAACTCTTTAAAAAGTTCCAACTTTATTCCCCATAAGATGCTGCAGTGAGTCCCAGTTTCTGAAAGCAGTAGTAACCAAAGCACCCTACATTATTCAAGTTTGCAGCTGAAAAGATAAACGCCCTTCAGATTCTCATTTAATTTACAGTGTATAAACCAAATAAAGCAGAGTATTTTAACAAATGTAATCTAATATAGTTTTCATATGTTTTAAAGCAAAATTTCTTAATTAGTCTATTACATTAACAATTTCGGCTTTGTTATTACTGCATTTTTCTATGAAATTCCCCTGAATTAGGATAAATTGGGCTGAAATTATCCCAACAATTTTCAGGGACAGTTCCAGGAAAAAAAATCAAGTCACTTTTATCTACTATTTTCAAATGAAGTGAAAGTATCCCTTTTCAGCCTCGCTAAGAGCTCAAAACCACATGTTCTTTAAAACATCTGTTAGGCTGATTAAAACGCATAGGCTAATGAGATAATGATCACATGTGAGACTGGGAAGTACCTAAATGTTTTTTCTCTGTTTGAAAAGGAGCATTTCTCTGTTGGTTTTGCAAAAAATTTAATACCCAAAGAACACCGTCTCTAGCTACTTAACAATTGAATGAGAACTAGCCTTGGCATATGTTTCTATAACCTCAGGAAATACCTTGTGCATTTTTTTAAAAAACAAGAAAGAGCCACAGTGTGAAGTACTGCCAATCACTTCAGTAATAATACTCTTGTTGCATGAAAAATGCAAGGTATTTTGCATAATTTGCTGCTCAACAGAAGATGGGCAAAAGCATGCACATGTATAATATGTAGTGGCTTGTTTCCTCATGAGATTTAAAAAGTCTACTTTGATGCTAAACACCTTGATTCCCAGTGTACCGAAGCATGCTTCTTCTAACAGTGCTGTGGACCTGCTGGTGGATATCTCAAAACCACACTGTGTCTGGACAATTAACAAAAATAGCCTATAATGACACTGAAGGGAACTGGTGACAAGAGCAGAATAGCTCAGTAGTACAAATACTTGTACATGCTCTGGGTACAGATTGGGCCACCTGCTTCACAATTCAGCTTTGTCCTGCTCAGTGGAGTAACTGACGGCACAGAGACCAAGTCTCCCAGATGGATGTGACTGATTCTGTAAGCACTGCTGTGCCCCTGGAGAATGTCCCTCCTTGCAGCTTCTGATCAGAGCATTTCACAACAGCACAAAATGCACAGTTCACCTTACCTGTTCCTCAGGTCTAAGAATACACTAAGAGGGCATACTTAATCACAGATACACTCCTCCCAGAAGCTTATACACATGTTAAAAAACCAGAGCCATGTTTCACAATTTTTAGTCTGAGTGTTTTTGAAGCCTGAAAATCTCGAAGTGACAAAACTGAGAGCAGCAGTTAAGAAAAAAAAGCCTACTGAAATTTGGCTTGTTTCTACATTTATCATCCTTTAAACTAAGCCTTGACCCTCCACCACCCCCCACTGCTACAATGCACAAAAGCACAAATGCAATACTGTAATTTCTTTGAAAGCTAAAGCACTACTTATTTAATTATTTGTATTAAATACGTAGAGTGTCTCTACCATAGGGGCAGTTTTATTCAGAACAAAAAGGAACTAATTCCTAATTCTGTCTTCTTGCTTTGTCCACTTAGTGGCTCTCTTGGCTTGCTACCTGCTAAATAAGGATCTTTTGTCCTGTTATTAAGACTCTAGGAAAATCTAGGTTGCCAACTGACATCTTCTGCATACCTCATTTAGGAAGACAGCTCCTGTAGACACGAGATCTTTCACTTCCCATGCCTTCCAAATGTTACATTTTTCTTTAATACCATGACATACCTCAGAAACAGGGATAAAGAAGTGCAGATTGACTCCGTATTTTACGAATGCATAATTAGACTACTATACCATTAAAAAGCACCATAAAAATAACGTTTCTAAATAGTGTTACAAAATTCACTAACCTCTCTGGTTTTAGTGCAGAATGGCTCTGCCATTGGAATATGACATACTCCTGAATGAGTGGAATGCTGTCCATCATATAAAGTACAATGCCTTTTAGTTGTCCTAGAAAAGCAGAAAACATGCTCAGAGAGAAGAACAGGGAGCAAACAGAAGAGAAAGCAAGAAATTTACACAAATCCCAAACCACAGCATTCCTGGAAGGGAAAATAAATATTAGTATGATATTAATGACCCATGTAATCCAGTTTTGCCTCTGTACAAGCCTTTCAGAATGGAGCTCAAGAGTATAAACCCATTACTCCAGTAGAGCGCTGTCAATAAATTAGAGAAAATCTACTACTAACAAGATGCTGAAATGCTGATTTGTTCCTCAACGACACGAACAGCCAGATTATGCTGCAATTCTACCCAAAATAAATCAGCTAAATTTAAGTGAGACAAGTAATCTCTGGGAAAAAAGAGCACAGTAAGCTTTCAGGAAGGGAATAAATCAAGCCTGAATTACCACAAAGCTAGTCAAAATAGACCTTGTTCATATAATTGCATTCCTACACTGAAAGGATTTGAATTTATAGGAACAGCTTCCTGAAGAAGAGAGGTGTGAATTCAGGCAGAAAAACCCTGGAACAGGATGTCCTCATATTCTCAGAAAGATTACACAGATGAATTGGCAGCTTGCAAGTAGAAAAATCCCTTTTCTCCCTTCTTCCTACTGAGAAACTGTTCCTTCCACGGAAATAGCCAAACATGCTGCAGAAATTACCATCTAGTATGCCATATTGACAACTACTGCATCTGTTACCCGTTATCACTTTACCTTCAAATGCACTGCCTCAAGCTAATTCTGCCAAGCGGATGTCAAAAACCCTCCAGAAAAAAATTCTTCGAGACATTTCCTTCTTCCCCCTAGTGTGTCACATATTGTACTTTATAGGAGAAAAGTAAGGCAACAGCCAAATTCAACCCATGGTTAAAATACAATATTTCTGCTGGTAATACTGCTCACATCAGTTCTCTACCCAAGTCACCAGCAAAAATTTAAAAGACAATTCTAAATAAAAGTTACATGTTAAGATTAGATTGGGGGGGGAAATAACCAATAGAGTAGCCTTAAGGATGAGGTTATAAAACAGAAAAAGAGATCAGCAAATTAAAAACATATGCAAAATGGAAAGCAGCTATTAAAATCAGTTGAAACACTAATATTAATCTTTCCTTTATGGGATACTGAGGACCTGCAAATAGAACACATCTGATTTTACACACTTATTTTTTCATGCCTGCTAATGAATTGTTTAGAATTGCAGGAAATGTGAAAAGTCATAATTAATTTCCTGCATTACAGTATTTCAAATGTTGTTAGTCAGGCCCTTTCACTCAGAAAGCTCCGAGGAAAGATCACACATGTACAAATACTAATCTCTAACTTTCAGATACACTATGTTCTTTGGAGACAACAGCCACATCACTACATGGTCTAAATAAAGAAATCCCACTATGTTTAGCAGGACCATACATACAAAATGCATGGGAATAAATAACAACAGTAAGACCTATGACTTCTCTGAGCAATGGATCACACGCATTTGCTCTCAAGAGTGCAACAATTTCTCTTGCCAGGTGACATACCCGTAAGTTGCTAAGCTTAGAGTAAGAATAAAGGCAGGAGTTGGCCATCCTGATATGTCTCACTCACCTGCCTGCAAGGAACAGGGCAGCAGCATGTAATTTTCAATTCCGCAATACCATTTTCTCTGAATATCTCGTAGAGAGAATGAAGGTTACAGAATCACAGTTGCTTTCCTTGCCTTACTCTCACAGAGACCAAGAGCAAAGGACAGTAACTGCCTAAGCGTCCTCTCATTACAGGACTTTCAAGACCTTCCCCCCCACGTACTCTTACGGAGCCAGAAGGAAAAAAGAAATAAGGACCTCAACAGCAACTCTTCAAAGACAGTCTGCTCCTTAGATCTCACAGTTTTAAATACGGAGAAGCCTGCACGGTCTCCATCAGAAGAGCCCGCTTAACAACAGAACATATAAATGTTATAAAATTGTCTGATTTTTTACATAAAAACAGGAAAAAGACACCAAGTGCCTGCCTAAAAACTAGCTACACTACTCATAGTAGAAGCACCCAATCCAGAAGGATCAAAGATAGCACAAAGGGAAAGTACAGAGATACTTCCAGTCAGGGAGATCAGAAGCAGCACCTGAAAGCACTGGACTGATAACTACAAGCCAGCAGGTAAGGGGCTGCATAGCTCTTGCTGGCCATCTGACCTCTGGCAGGGCCCTATGAAGAACCCTCACCAGACCTTCATGCTGCCTCTATGCCTAAGAGTTGACAGCAGTACAGGAGAAAAGGGAGTTCTTTCCCTGGGAAAGAGGTATGTATGTTTTTATGTAAAACTGCTTGTACATCAAGCTCAAGGAGATCGTGGTACTCAGCACAAGTAAACTGTTGCACTGTTGCATAGTTTTGCCATGCCTTCCTTGCCCTTACTATGTTCTCAAATTCAAAGCTGCACATACTGCAATTTTGAAGATGTCCCCAGAGTTTATATTCCCCACCCTGCAGCAACAGCCACAGTTTTAATCAGACTTTAATCTGTAAAGTATGTTTTGCTCCTTCATTTTGACTTTGTCACAGTAATACAAGATTTTTTGGCAATGCTGACTATCACTGATGCTAGGAAGCAAAATTCAACCCAAACAAGTAAATAAACCAATCATTTCCATCTGTGACAAATAGTTCTCTATCACCTTCATCATCACCTTGCCTTTCTTCCCATAGTGCTGAATTATCAACAAGCTATTAGCAATTAAAGAACAAAATGAAAATTTACACTGGCATCTGCTGTATAAAGAGCAGTCTTAGCATGCTCTGCCTCTTCAGGGACATTGAAAGAAAATTCTTCCATGAAAATATTTTACAGAGTGTAATAATACTGTAATAATTGTAGTGGTGTATGTGACACAAAGAATTCAACCAATAAATTTGGCATCTGCTACAGGATTTCTTTTTATGAAGCTATTTTCTGCATCTTCCTGACTCAGCTGAGTCATCCAAGTAAGCAGTTACCTTTTTACTCTTCTTTTCCTAGCAAACATCAGCAGCAAAACGAACAGTATTAAAAAGACCCTAATCAGTCTGATCTAGCCAGCTGACTAACAGCACTGTAATAAAGTAACAGGAGGCAAAGGCATAAAAAAAAATCTTTCTTATTTTTTTTAGGCACTTGTTCCAAAGAAGAGAACAACTACTGTAGCTGATACTACTACCTGTAGTTGCTTTTGGATTTGGAAGTAGGGAGAACATTATGTAAATATTCTGGTACTTAATTAACAAAATGTATCTTTTACTGTTTGAATACATACACTAATAGATAAGCATGAAGAAAGCAGAGACTATATACAAAATCAAACACTTACTAGGAATGCTAATGATCTGGAAAATTGAGCTCTCAGAAGTTTGGAAATGCTATATAGTTCTAACTACCCCTATTCAGTGTTCCTCACTTTTAAGTCAAAACTATGCCCTAAACTAGGCAGAAGTCCTACACAGCTCCATAAATTGAGATCCTGTCATTAATATTACAGTATGCATGCCCATGGAGAGCAAATTACAATTGCTGCCTACAGCTTTCTGTTCAATTCTAGCTCTTCTCCCATTCCTCTTCTTGCTTCATACCTGAGAGGAAAACAAGGATGTGCTCCCTTCTGAGAACAAGAGCCCAGATGCCAAAAAGTACCTGGACACCTAGAAGGCACTGATTTTAATGGCAGCTTGAGTAAATCCTTCCCACCTAGACCCAAGCCTCTTTTCTACGTAGTGCCTAGCATGGGTTAATCACTATATAGAAGCCAGGGTACCTTTCGAGAAAAATAACCAACTGCTTTTGCAGCTTTAACCAGTACCTTTTGCCCAAGACAGCTGACATAGTCTATTTGCAGGACCCTGATCTTTCTTTAGAAGGTTTTTCAGAAAAATTGCATCTTTTCAGACTTTGGTGGACAATTAATCCATCTGGTCTCATCAGACAAATACAGTGATTTGTTCTATAACCTTTTTTTTTTAATTCTTCTTAAAAGAGGTACGTTCCTAAAACCCAAAGTCAACCAAGCTGATTATTTCCTTTCCAGCTCAGAAGTGATGATGCAGACTGGCAAGTGCTGGGAAATTTAAAGCTGTGGAAAGAGATTAGGTAGCTTCAAAATGAATTGTTAATTTTAATAATGACATTTTGGATGAAGGATGGTCTCAGATTTCATATCTGGGTTTGTTTCCTGATTCTGTTAATGTCCTTCTGTTTGACCTCTGCCGAAGTTAGTTTGTTCATACTTCCACCCCTCATCCCTAGCAGATAGTAACTACAATCATTCCAACTGTTTCTTTTTTAAAACTGCAGGCTTTCTGGGTCAAAGGCTACTTCTTACCAAGCATGCAATTGACAACTTAGCGGGGCCAGGCTCCCCTCACCTACCTAAGAGTCTGCTAGATGATAATGCTGTCAAAATAACTGCTATTTTACTCAAAATCATCCAAACCATGTACCAAAGTATGTTTAATATTTTTCCTACATAAATCAGTATAGATACTAAAATTACTAATTTTTCAAGTACTACTGGCAGAGTAAGGATGATTATGATTTAATCTGTACAAAGTGATCAGCCTAAATACTTTTAAGACTTAAAAACCCTCCCCAAAAACAACCAAAAAAAGACCACTGTCAGCAATACAGCTGCTCTCCACTCATAAACCAACTCTAGTTAATTACAGGAAGCAGTTTATATGGGGCTTGCTCCTGCAGGCTACTCAGTCATTTAGATACAGTGTACTCAAAACTCATTCTCTTACAAGAAAAAGCATTTCAGTTACACGCACAAAAATGTCAGTAAGTCAAAACTTCAATAGCACTGCGCTGCAGAGAACAAATCTAGGTAAACACCTTCAATTGTCAATGAAATATGGCCAGAAGCCCCACAAAAGCACAAAGAACCTGCATAAATAATTCCAAACATTTGACATTGGGTGGAATACACAAATAAGACTCCGAGGTATAGTACACCTATAAGGACTACTAATACATTTACCTCTTAAAACGTGCATCTATACTTTTTAAGTATTCGGTGTAGTTGGTGATCTTTAAATGTAGCTTTTTTTTCCCCCCATTTGCTTGATTTTTTCAAAACATCAAGGAGGGGAGGACAGATTGGGGTACACTTTCAAAAAAAAAAAACAACTTCCTTATGATTCTTAGCAAATAAAAAATGTTAGTATCTATCCTTGCTTTAGAACAACCTCCTCTCTTTTCCCACTGTTGAATTTATCTCTTTTTTGTAGAGCCTCATTATTACAGCATATGTTTTCCTGTGTGACTCCTACTACGCTTTCTTGCACCTCTCCATCTCATTTCAGATTCTTCTTAAGGCTTAGAATGGCCTGTGCTCTTATCCATATTCTTCCCTCACATTTGAGAATAGGAGATGTCCGCTCTTCAGAAGACTCTTCCCAAGGAGCTGTACTTTAGTTCATTCAGGGCCTTTCTTCAAAGCCTGGTATTTCTTCTATGTCTGTTAGAGCTTAACTTCCTGTAATCTTGTTCCTGTTTCCTATCTTGTCTTCTTGTATGAATCTCACTTTTCACCATAAGAACTCAGGCTACCACCTCATTCTACAGTAACTTAATTTAACGTTAACATGTTATTATATGGTTTAAGCCCACTTGTTCCTTTTTCTCCCTCAAAACTAAGAACACCATTAAAACCAAATGTTACTCACCTGTCAATGAACTGGTCAATTATGACAAGATCACCAGGCTGTATTTCCTCTCGTAATGAACCACAGGCAGTAGTCACTAATACATGCGAACAATTTTCTTCTTTTAATGCCCAGATATTGGCACGGTAATTGATGTTTGATGGCATAATAGTATGATGCCTTCCATGTCTGCCAAGATACATGTTGCAAGAGAGTAAAATAAATCATACTGAAATTGCCTTCCTTCGCCCAGATAAAGAGAACTCTAGGAAATGTAATTTCCCTAACAACATTGGAAGTGGAACTGATACTTTCAGCTACTTCCAATGTAGCTTGTTTTCCTAACTGTATTAAGGCTCTCTCAGTTATTTGGTTTAAGATGTAGTGGTGTAGTTTTCTTTTCAAATGCAAAATTTTAAAGTTCAAGACTGTAATGAAAAGAATCTTGAAAATACAATCCAAATCTACTTTAGCAGCTTAAAGAGTACAAAAAGCATTTTTCTTTGAACCTTTTAAGTCAGTTCCATAGATTCTGAAAACCCAGGTGTAGCAAATTAAATCTTCCATACACTACAACAAGTTTGTAAGATTTATATACACCCCTACAACTGCTGTTTGTACTCTCCCACCCAGAAGAGAGTGGCACATCACAGGAAATGAAAAACAGAAAGAACACACTGTTTTAATCTTTTACCTTCCCAAAGAAAACAGTAGAATCATCACATTTTTCTCTTTTGCTCTTAAAATGATCTGACAGCTTTCATAAATTAGAAGAATGACTTCACATTGTACCAGTGTATTTTTTCACTGAGACAGGAAATAGTTAAATCTTATAAGCACATGCTTTGTATTACCTCTGTAAACCCTACAGAGGTACATCACTCACATAATGATTAAACACATGTAAAAACTATTTTCAACCATGTAAAAGGAATGGAGGAACTTAATTTCCCAACTGATTCTTTCACAGAGACCACAAGGTCTTAAGAACTTGATCAGCTGGGAACTGGAAGTTGCACACAACACAACCAAGCACTGACAGGCAGGATTCCCATGTTGCCACTAGCATTTCTGATAAGCTACTAGGCATGTAGATTTATTGTTTTATGTTGCAGTTGTTGTCATGATCCTCTTCTAGAATATACATACCCCCCCCCCTTTTTTTTTTATATTTGACATTCACTCTTGTTATTTTTCCCAAAACACAAAGTGGAGTTACAGGTACCTTAGCCCCAAAAGTAAACTCACGAGGGTTCTATGTGAATGGTCATAAATCTCAGTGAGGATGTAAATGATAGCTGAGTTCTTCAGCCATCTGTAGCCCAAGGCCTGCTTTAATACAGCACAGCTACGAGACCTTGGCTTAGCATTTCATTTGAGAAAATGAGAAAAATATTGTTCAGGTGTAATAAAATACATCAGCAAAGTCCATGCAGGATAAGAAAAGTAAAACCACAGACAGAAGTGCAGTTGCAGACATGGTGACAGTCAGCAGCTTAACAGAAAAATACTGTCATGAAAAAAATCAGGGCCCCGAGTGTACCACTAGGTTGTAATTGTCCTGGTCAGCCTCACCCTGGGCTTCCACTCAAACAGCCAGTGCCCATGAACCTAGGTGCTCCTGCCTCTAAGCTCAAGCCCCAGCCTTGACTCCTGGCCCAAGCCATGTCACAGATGTGCCTGTCCCCAGTCCTGTCTCCTGGATGGCCTTCAGACCTATGCTGCAGTTTGTCTCCAGACCTGTTTTCTGGATGGACTTTGGACACATGCTGCAGTCTTGTCTCTGCAGCCCTGTCTCTGACCCCATCTCCTACTGCTCCTGCTTGGACTCCCTAGATGGATCCTGGAATTCATCATGATGAATCATGATTCATCATCATGGCTTGTGTGGAACTGCTGATGGACCCTGTTATGAGCACCTGACTCTGCCCAGATGCCGAGAACTGTGTTAGTATTCTTATGTTTAATCTAGTCGCGCACTGGTCCTAGATATCCACGGTTATATTAGTGTGAAATTTCCATGCCCTTATCTGTCGATGCTGCTTCCAGAGACTCTTCTGAGTATAGTAAGAAATATCTAAATAAGAATGACCCAGGGAGAGAGAACTACAGGGGATGCAGCCTAAGCATCCCCTGTAGGGGGGGATAAAGGTAACAGCCAGAGGACTGAATAATCAAAGGGAATGACGTGGAAGAGTCTACAGCAGCATGAGGGTTTCAGTTCATCTGGAAACAGGCAATTTCCCAGTTTCACAAAGGAAACTTGCAAACACAGGGAGGAAGGAAATGGATTATTGAGGTTGTCAGGCACCACCTACCTATCACCAGAGCAGGCAGCCTTGCAGGTTGCTGTTCTTACTAGTGCAGCACCCTGCACTGGATTTCTCTTTCCTAACCTAGATAGTATTTTAATTCTCTCAGTCCCTGCAATGTTAAACTTGTTCAGGAAAAATCCCAGACTTCTGCTGGACTTTGCTAGCAACTACACAGAGCAAGATGAAGTCAGAGTAAAAATTCAGTTCATCTAGTATAAAAAGAAAAAAACTTTTAAGAAAACTTTAAAACACAAAGTATAAACCCCCTTAAAATGCCCATTTACCTTGCCAACAGCACACAGTCCACATTTTTTATCTTTCCCAATATCAAAGCATCTGACGGCTGCAAAACAAGCAAGTAAGAGTGAGTCAGAGCCTGACAATCATATTACAAACTTTTAACCGCTACTTAAAAACAATCAGGATAGTTATGAAAGGAAATACCAGTTACCATGGTAGTCTCACATTTTCTTCAGCTCAGCTCTGTAATTTGATATGGCAGATTAGTAAAACAGTCTGGAACAGGAAGATCAAACTTGACACCAGAAGAATGATCAATTTTTCTGTGTTCATACTAACATTAATATTGCAGCTGCTTACTTTAGGCTTTGAAACAGTAACACTTCCAAATACTTCGTAACAGTATTTTAAACAGTGCTTACACAAATATGAAAAAAGAAGCATGTACACGTTGCCTTTTAATTGGTTAGCATGTCTCACTGTCTCCTGTAAACATTGGTTGCTTTTCGCTAAACAGGTGCCACTCTCTACTGAAAACCCTCTCCCAACAGAAATGACATTTAATCTGTCTTTTTCCATAATATTCCCCTCTTCTCTCCCGTTTCTAACATGGCCCCCTAGCTTACAGTAGGGGTGCGAAGAGAGGTTCTAGCCCCTCCAACCCATGCTTCACTCCCCTCCATCTTCCTGATAAACTCTCTTCCCTGCTGCTGGGAGTCCCACTTCTGGGAAGAGAACTGTGATACGACAGAGAACTTCTGGTACACTCGTGGCAGAAGCAGTATGGCTTTTGGTCAGCTCAGGGACCAGGAGACAGCATGCACTCTCCTCTCACAACTATATGACAAGGACATGCATTCCTCCTGACTAACCAGCCAGTCAGGAAGCTAGGGCACTTTGTTTTGAGCTGCCCAGCTTGGACACCTGGCTTGCCCTGGAGATGGTCATAGTGCCCATGCAGGGCAGCCCCTAAGTCATCAATCGCCACTAAAACAAATTAACTGCTCTGTGGGCTGTGCTCTGCTCCTGGGCTATATGCATAAAGGGATCTGAAATACATAATGCAAAGGGAAGACTCTGTTTAATTAGATGCTAAACCGCATTTGTGCTGAACAGCAGTGCAGTTGGATATTTTGCTTCTCCCGCTCAATTCAGAACAGCATGCATTTCACCCTTTTTATTGCAGTGTGGAAGAAAGCATAAATAAGCTGGAAGCCACTCTGTGTCAATCTCTCCTTCCATGCCCTGGCATTTAAAGCTGAAATAGCTGTTAACAAACTGATCACAAGTGTGTAAGTGTCTGGAAGGACTCACACATTTGCATTTGGAAATGTTCTCTTGCTTGCTACTTGATATAATTTTATTTGTATTTCAATGCCATCTGCAAGATTTCAATTAGCATTTAGTTTTACAGCTGTTAATTCTATTACACACTTGAAAATTGCAAAAAATAAAGTAATATGGGAGCCCCACATAGCTGCATTTTAGAGATACTAATTTCTAATTAAAACATAACTTTCTACTCCCTATTGCACAGCTCTTTCTGGACATTTTTAATGCCAAGTCTCTTAAAAGCACCATAATTTACTCAATCACCTAGGTTTAAGTTCTGCCAGACACAGATTTACTACTTTTTTTATATATAAAGGGAATGTTCCAGAAAATTTATTTTTAGAACCGTAGTGTATTCTGACTTCTTTTTAAAAGTTTCCATTTAATATTAACCTATTGACATTTACGCATTTAATCTATTTACCCTAATTTATGCATACTCCTTGAACTAGACATGGCTTTAAGAGTGAAAGGGCACAAAACTTGCCGTCTAGTTGCCAAGGCATTTTGATGTTGCAACATTCCATAACAATGAAGGTTCACAATAATTAGCACTTGGGGTTTGTTCTGTTTAGAGAGCACACATTTGCTGTATGAAGTTATTATGTTATTATGCAACTTAGCTCACAGTAGCATTCAAAAATAGTCCTAAACACTAAAGAAGACCTCAGCCAAAATTCCTTGTCTCCTATTAAAATGAAAAGTAGAGATCAGTAAGTTGAAGACTGGACCCTTTGCTTTACAAGTGACATTTATTGCAATCAATAGATTCAAGTTTATATCGATTTCTAAAAGATTTGGGGCGGAAAGGTGCAATTTAACTGTTATTTGATATTCATCTCCACCAGAGAACTCCACTGAATTCTAGCATATGCTGCTGGTGCAGCATGAATGCGACAGCTTTGAAATAAAACAGGCTTCAAAATCTAGTTGCAGCAGCAAAGGTTTCCTTCCCCATCTGCTGCCATCCTAGTCACTTCAAAAGGCTTCAGGCTGGCCGTGTAACAGGACCGGTTGTCACCTTTACACAAATTTCCACACAACACATTCAGGGCATCTTCCAGGTGACTGCCTGAATAGCATTCTTGCACATGACTCCTAGAAACACAGCAGAGGAAAAAAGAAAGGTTTGGGACAAAGAGTGTGCTGATAAATTATGAACTGACAGTTTAAGAATTTGCAGATACCGCATCATGAGTCATTAGAAGAGAGAAAATAAATCAGCATGTATAAAGTTACAAGGAAGTGAAAGAGACAGAAATTTCAAACTATGTGTTAATCACGTAACAGAACTAGTGTACACTTCCATTCTACTCTCTTTCTCCCACAAGTTCTTTTCAGTGCTGTACATGTCAGTATTTTCTATATTATACCAAATTTTTAATGCAATGAAAATAGTGGAGAGAGAAAAGAGAGAAAAGAAGGCTGCAATATTAGCAGCTGTAAGCATATTTATTTTTTTAAAAACTAATGTACTACATTTTCTCTACTATTACTAATGTAATTTGAAAGATCAAGGGAGGACCAATGCCAATATAGAGAATTGCAAAAATGCTCACACTCCTTTAAGCTTTTCCATATTTCACCTGAAAAAAATACTCCCACGTTCCCTAATGATGTAAGTTTTGTTATTAAATGATTCTTATGATTTCAGAAGACAGTTCAAGGAGTCTATATGAACAAAACGTGAGCTATTATTCTGCTTCTAAAAGTACAGAAACAGCATTAAGAGAACTTTTTTTGCTGTTGTCAAATGTAAAAGGTTACGAGGAACATCATCACCAGAAGGGTTTTCAGCTAAAAGTCTTTTGGCTATGTCCTTGACAAGAAACTTAAAAATCGAAATTTAAGGAAAGGATAATTGTACACTTTGCATTTTACAAGATAGAATGAAATGGACATACATTTTTTTACCATGCCTTGCATTTTCCTTTAGGTATTCAGACGTTCATTTTCATTCTTCCTAGTTCTGCTTGAACTAAGTAAGCTTGATGCTGCATCTCTAATTCTCTTGGCAATCAAAAGACCACAGTTCTGAACAGTTTATTTAGATTAAGCCCTTTACCTCTTAAAATTTAAGGCAGATTCTCTCTCCATTGATGCCACAGCTCCAAGAAAAATCATTTCATGGCAGAAAAATACCAATTTGGTTTTATTTCAGTAACAGTCAAGAATAAGATGCATCTTTAGAAAAAAACACTAACATAAACCACAAACTTCTAAACTTTTACAAGCACACTTAAAAGCCTCAGTAGCAAAATAAACAAACATTGATCCACCTAATGATACCAATTAAATTTGTGAGGTTTGTTTCTGCATCAACTTGAAGTCCATGAACTTGACCCACTCAATGCACTTTATGCCACTGTAACTTGTGGTCTAAGGCTGATCCTCCAGTTGCTCCACCAGGATGAAAATTGCATTCAAACACTTAAGGCAATTCAATGCAGGATTGAATCTACATAAAACAATCATCAGACTGATAGCCTGAGTTCTTAGGAATTCAGATCTATAGGAAGAGAGACAGGCCATTAGGGTAAGGATAAAAGCTCACTGTTTGGCTCTGCTCCCTTTCACAGATACGGATGTCTCACAGAGCTGCAGTTTTCCATCCAACTCAACTCAACAGTCCCAGTTCAGCTCACCTCAGTATCTAGAATCCATGCTTGGGTTCCTACCATGACATCTCAGTTATATCCCACCACCCCCATACACAGAGGCAGAATACTCACAGGATTTTTCTTTAAGTTGAGCCTATGCTAAATGCGTAATACACAAGCTCAGACACAGCTAGTCCATTGATAAAGGTTTCTCCCAAACCAAAACTGGCAACCAAGATTTATTTTCCCCTATTCATGTTGCATTCTGTGAAGAACACAGAAAAAAGACACTAGCTAAGCTGCTTCCTACATGAAATTTAAAAAGCCTTACACACTGACCAGAAGTGCAGGATTGAGGAAGCTTTTTCTATTCCCTTGTGCAGAAGCTCCTAGTTTTCTCAGTAATAGTAAACCCCGCTGTAGGCCACCTACCGCACTGCAGAATTTGAGCCTCCCAAATACTACTGCATCCCAGCACTGTGACAGAACAGCCCTCCAAATGCTGTGTTGCCACTGTGCCCTTAACTACAATCTGAACAGATCCCTGTAAGGGAAGAGAAGACTGTTTCACCCTTCCTGGATACGAAGGCTTCAGCTAATATCTGCTAAAAGCATAGTGCTACTTTTGCTTTGTGAGGTGGTCAGACACTGGAACAGGTTGCCCAAGGAGGCTGTGGATGGTTCCAGGTTCCAGGACTTCCCTCCCTGGAAGTGTCCAAGGCCAGGCTGGATGAGGCTCTGAGCAACCTGGTCTAGTGGAAGGTGTCCCTGCTGATGGCAGGGGGGCTGGAACTAGATGATCTTTAAGGTCCCTTCCAACCCAAACCATTCTATGATTCTATGTTGTGACCACCCATGACTCTCAAAAAGATAGGGAAAAGACTGGCTTAGCCAAACCAGCTGCCGTTAGTTGGTTAGTGGATTCTACTTCAGACCAGTGCTGGCTACCATTTGGAAAGCAGGGTATAGAAAATGGAGAAGGCAAGTTACCTTCATTCTCTTGTAGTTTGTTACACATTTTGAAGTATGGTGGAAAAGTCAAATGTGTTTTTCTGATTATGTTTTCTCCTCCCTTAATCTTTATCTCCTTCCCATTCTTGAATGACACGCACACAAGCTCCACTTGCTCTGCATTCTTACTTCCCCCTTAAACCATTTTGAATGGAGGCCCAGATTCAGATTTTCACTCTCAGTGCTGAGCTTTCTGGCAAGTTTCTACCCATAAAATGACTCTTGCTACCACATGCTAGATGTTTAATTGTATGTATACTAGCTTACACTGGTAGTTTTTGTAAGACACAATTCTGATAGCAATTATAAAGCACCTAGACTCACCTGATCTTAACACATTACAGAATACACGAGATACAGTTCTGTGAACTACCTGTGTCAACTAGAACTTCTTTCCCCCTCAATTTCCTGCCTATAAAACTCTCCCTCATCCTTTGTTGTGCCTGTTCCTACTACGAGTGCTTTGGGGCAGAAATTGTCCTTTACAACACACTCAGTACTGTTTTCCCGGTTTTGCTAGGATAGAGTTAATTTTCTTCTTAGTAGCTAGAAAGCGCTGTCTTGGTTTCAGTATGGGATTTGTTACAGAAAGGATGTTGATAATATACTAATGTTTTTATATGCTGCTGAAAGTCAAAGGCCTTCGTGTTTTGTTAGTCTGCAGGTACAAAGGACTTGGTGGGAGAAAAGCAAAGCAATTATCAAACCCCAAAGTTGGATTTTGGATGTGCCAATGAGATATTCCATATCATATAGTGCCATGTTCAGTATATTAATGAGGGTTGACCAGAAAGCTGGGGATTCTCTCGGGGATCGCTCGGGCTCACTCTTCCGGGACTGCAGTTTCAGGACTGTCTCTGCTCTGGGATCACTAGCTGGGGACAGGCGGGGCTTCGGTTGGTGGGTGGTGAGCAACTGCACTGTGCATCACTCATTTTCCTATTCTATCATTACTGTTATTATAATTAATTTTTAAAGTTTTATTTTATTTAAATTATTAAATTGTTTTTATCTCAACCCACAAGTCTCCTTATCCTTACCCTTCAATTCTTTCCCCTATTCCCTGGGTGGGGGGTGGAGAGTGAGCAAGCAGCTGTGTTTGGCTGCTAGCCAAATGAAACCACCACAACTGTGTACAGAGCAACACCTCTAGCCTCCACACTGTCTTAATGAGCAAAAGGGCTAAAAGCAGCATGAAGGAGGGTTGGTCAAGAATACCTGTGCCACAAAAAAAAAACCAAAACAGTTTCAGAGCTTCATTTTCAAATTAGTTTCAAATTATACAGTTATAAGCATGCCTGTAAGGAGAGCATTGGTATGTAAAGTGTAAATCAGTGGTTACAGGGAAAATGGTGGTCCATATACCTCAAAGGACAGTTTCCTGCAATTCAGAAAGGTTCCTGGAGTGATCTGACATATACTACAGGTCACACAACAGCACAAATTTGAAAAAGAGAGTTTGTCCTTCTTGACTGCAAATTCAGGACTGAGTTTGTACATTCATCCAATCTACAAAAGAGAGAGTCTCCTTTGCACATCATCTTTGTAACACCCTGTTTCTACAAACTCAGAATCACACAACACATAGCAACTAAACAGAAATAGTTTTGTGACAGTACCTCCTTTATGCATTCACTTAAGTCTGAAAATTCTTATAGCATAACAACAACATTAAAAGCAGCAAAAAATCTCAATAATAAAATAACAGGTTATACAGACCTTGCCATAAGGTGTATCAACATACTTTTCTGTTCTTCCTTCTAAGATATCCACATCATCCAGGCCAGTTCCACCAATAATTCCAATCTTACACAGAAAAGTACATATTAGTCTTCTTGAGGTTACACTCAGGGTAATAGCATATCTGAAAAACTAACTAGGCAGCTACAAAATGTATTTTCTGCTCGAGATTGGGCTAGACTACAGATCAACAAAACATAACATACCCAGCACAGTTTCCCAGAAAGGAAATTTCAAATGACTGATTTTAAACAATTGTGTTTAACTTGCTAATTTCTTATACTATGATTCTACTCTTTAAAAATACCAAATTAAAAAAGCTATGGAAAATGCACAAAGATGTGACAATTCACTCACAGTTAGTTAGGAATGCCTGTAATGAGTGAGAAATACCTGTATAAAGCATATTACAACAAAGGCTTCTTGTTTACATGGGGAAAAGAGTCCTACACATAACCACCATACTGAGTACCACACATTACAATATGGTATTACACATACAAAATACAACATTTTTGTGTTGACTTGCCAAGATGTAAGAACTTCCCCACTTCTGTAAGTAGTCTCTGTATAGATTCTGAAAAGCCAGACAGCTCAACAGCATCCTCACAAGAGAAATAAAATAAATCTGCTGACAATTTAATCTGCTGTGATTGCTGGGTTTCTTCACATATTTTCTATTAGATCCTCTGGTACCTAAGAAGGTCCAAGTGTTCATTCAAACTCTGCCTGCAGCTGGGTCACTAACTGTGACTCTCTTGTGTAGATGCTCTGGTGTCAGGTTTCTTGCTCCTCCTACTTTTTAAATTAAGTCAAGTACTTTTTTCCCCTGAGTTTTTCTGAAATTGATTAACAGCTTCAAAGCATAATAGAAAAGGAAAACAGAGGGCAAAGCAAAGGGACACTTAAATAAAATGTATTTATTTCCTTAGAAATCAGCCTTGTGTTGTGTTTTGATACAACTTGTAGTGAAGAAGCATGAAGTGACTCTTGGTTACCACGTATCTGTCATGCTTTAGTATCACTGGTTTCTTGTTCTTGCTCATGGCTCATCTGTTCATCTTTTGTAAAAAAGGTTAAAGAAAAAAAAAAGGTAATTTGAAGCATATATTCTCACTGAGATGAAGCTCACCTGTGATTTCATACTCCAGCGAAAGAAAACTGTATCTGAATTTTCTTGTTTCTAGTTCGTAACTGGAAAGTATCTTGTTTTTGTCTTTCTAGGTATTCCATTTTCAATCAAGTCAAGTTTGCTCTTGAGTTCAGAACACTTCTAGCTCTTTGGGTGGAATGGGTACTATCAGGCCCTTCACAATCTCAAGCTCAGTAATGGTGTTTAAAAATAATGTCAACACTTATCACACACAGAAAATACTACTGCTTTTTTCTTCCCCCCCCTCCCACTCTGATGCAACCAGTTGTTGCAAAGTTTGTCTCACTTTTAAACTGAAGAATTCATATCATGGCTGAGTTGCTTATCATGAACACAAAAAACCCTGGAAGCATTCTGGCATGACTTATTACTGCATGCTTCCACCATTTTTTATTATTTTTAAAACCAGAAAATTTCTCAAGTAAAACCTCCAGGCTTCAACATACAACACCCTCTTCCACAACACACACCCAACTGTCTCTTACTACAGCTTCTTCTTAACTTTCCCATTCACAGAGATCTCATTTGTTCAACCACTATATTAGTTGGCTCATCGAGCATTTAGTTTTGACAAGCAGAGGCTCTGTGGTCTTCCTTATGCATCAAATACTTCTCTGAGAAAGCTTTCCACACCAGATGGTGCAAACACTGATCTGCTGGAGTAACTCAAAGACTTCTCCTATTTCCTTTTGCTACCACCCTGTGGAACACTAGGAGTAGTGCAAAGGCAAACAGCAGTAAAAATCCAAACACTCCAACCCTGAATATACTCACGCACTAGGGAAGACCTAGATCATTGTTTGCAGTAGTATCGATGGGTCTGTTCTCATATTACAGGTGTTGCTTACTTACTATTGCTAAGATTGCTCATGAAAGTCCTGAAAATTATATAAATTTTAGGATGCATAATATTTTGCCTTAAGACTCATGTAGTAGGTGGGCAATAGGAGCAATCATAAAACTGAAAATCAACAAAATACCAACTTTAACATTACTCATGCATGCATTCAGTAAACACAGTACATTAACAGAAGCAGAATCAAAATGGTGCCTTTTTAAAATTAATCTAGGAAAAAAAAATAGTTCCTTTAGTAACTCAACTAGTTTTAGTTTGGTATCATTTAGTTTGGTATCATATGTTACGGGCAAATGTCATGAGGATGGAGCCAGGCTCTTCTCAGTGATGCCCAACGATAGGACAAGGAGCAATGGGTGTGAGCTGGAACACAGGAGGTTCCGCTTAAACTTGAGAAAAAACTACTTTACAGTGAGGGTGACAGAGCACTGGAACAGGCTGCCCAGGGAGGTTGTGGAGTCTCCTTCTCTGGAGACATTCAAGACCCGCCTGGACGCCTTCCTGTGTAAAATTGTTTAGTTTCCTGCTCCAGCAGGGGGATTGGACTGGATGATCTTTCGAGGTCCCTTCCAATCCCTGACATTCTGTGATTCTGTGATTCTGTGATCATTCTTGTTTTATCAGTGCCCTATGATTTAAGATTAAGAATATTCAAAAGGGAATGCTTATCTGCCTGAATTTTTATGTCTCATGAAGTGAAAGTTGTTGGGACTGAGGAAGACAGTGCAATGCTGGAGACACCAACTACAGCTACATGACATAAAAGTTATCTCAGAACTGCAACGCTTTAAGGTCTTTATGAACACACAGATCCAGCATTGTAACAGATTGTTCCTGTACCAGAAAGCAGCACACAATCTGTGGCAGCACAGAGCTCGGTCTGTTCATGGCAGTATAGGCCTGGAGAGGTTGTTCAGATTTGTTCTTGGGCTCCTTACTCCTGCTGCTGCAGCAGCATCAACATGTGCCTCTACTGCACAGTTCAGCTCCAGATAAGGCTTTTAGACCAATGGCTACACTGTCAGAAATGGCAGCAGTGCAATGAGCTGGCAAAATATTCACAGCTCCCAAAGTGGAAAACCCACGGCACAGAAGAGCAAGAGAGCCTTGAATTTTGCCTTCTTACTCCCTGCAAAACAGCTCAGAAGCAGTTTGGTCAACCTTCAAATAACCTTAGGCAATACTGGACAGAGAAATGCTGGGCTCATTATAATTCACGGGAAAGCTACTACAGTGGAAGAAGTTAGGCCAGCACAGATTTGTTGAAGCAGCTGCTTCTCCAACCACATAATGCCAACTTGGAGCTGGGAGCTCCAACCCTAAAATTAATTTTACCTCTCTGCAACATAATTATTTTTCCTCCAGTTTACATAATCTCCAGGAATACCATCTGCATCTGAAGGCTGGAGACCCCAAAAATCTCATTCTATATTAAATTCCCCTTTATATAACTTCTAGTGAATTACCAAGCAAGTTTGCTGATGACACAAAGCTGG